AATATGGTAAGTAACATGACTGTGATCTTTGGTACAAGTACTATATTGCATTGTTATACTATCATCTTCAATTGTTGCCATGCTTGTGTATATTTATTGTTGCAGGGCCATATTGTAAACTAGACATTTTCTAAATATGTAACCCTGGTTAAATAAAAATTATTATTACATATTTTGGATTGCTTGGAAATGAGCATTGACACTCCTTTTTAATAGAAAGACAAAAAAACTTCCAACTCGCTTATCGTTGCTGTAGTGATAGAGCACCACGTGTGCCATATCGATAAGTGTGTATATTTAATTCTGAATTTATATTGAAAGTAGCTAATCAATTCTATGTGTTCTGTGCAGTCTTCAAGATTGCAGGCGATGGACGACTGCTTGGTAGGTGGATTTAAGTCCCAGATGTTTACCGTAACAAGCATACGTTTTTGAAATAATCAGATAAATAAAAAATGCGATATACATTGAATTGTAGGGCTAGTACATCTCCCCATCTAGATGTTGATATTTCTTCCGAACACTTTGTGTTCGCCCCAGTCGCCTCCTTGGTATTAACATTTAGGCCCATAACATTGAAATACATCACTGACGAGTCCTAGCAGATCGAAACAGCTTTCTGATGCAATCTAATTCATTATGTGATTCTGCGTTATGTGAATTTTAATTTATGTTAACTGCTGTTATTAACTTTTGTGTTTTTGTACATTTTTTTCGGCAGAACCGTTCAAGATAATATTGGTATTTCCTCTGTGTATTTGGGACTACCCTCAACTCACAGCGCAGGTTGAATGTTCACCGGGTCTCCCACTGGCTAATAAAGGGGTTACGCAAACTGTCAATTAAGTTTAGATACGAATTGATTGATAACGGTTCTATGCTTTTAGCTTCAGTCGTTGTCCTTACATATATTAGGACCATATATATGTAAATTCTTTTAATCACATATAATACCCCCAATTGGGCCCCACCTTGCAGTCAACAGCAAACACACGTTGTCGATAGTAAATTCAAACGAATAACACAGCTATTTTCATTCAAAATTTATCAGATAACACTTTTAGTAGTGTTGTTCACGCGTCAAACACTGGATATTGGATTTTGATAAATGACAGACGAATACCTTATAATTATAGGGCTGACATTAAGCTAACCAGTCAAGCAGCAGCTTCGCAAATTCCGAATCGGTATTCAGTCCAAGATCCTCCTTCATCTTTCGCCATCTATTGATCTCCTCTCTATTATAAATTCTTGCCTATCCTCTTTTCTGGTCTGACTCCTTCCTCTTACGCTTTCTGGCACTTTCTGTCTGGTAACGTTTAGGCCCTCGTCGTCTTTTCGTATTTGCGTCCGCCATATTGCTTCTTTCTAGGCTTGTACACATGCGCAGCATCAGGGTTACGAGCGGTAATGTATGAATTAGATCAGGACAGAAATATTTATATTCTGTATTTTTTAGATACCAATAAAAATGGTTGCAGTGACTTTTAATTTTAGTAATTAACAGATAGCCTTAGTTTTGTCACATACTATTGGAAAAGAGAACGTTTTATGTCGTTTTCTCGTAGTGTGTTTTAACATTATAGTCGCTTTAAATTATATAAATAGGTTCAACAAATGTCTGCGTTTTACAGAAGTGTGTATAAGGTTCACATAGGAGAACGATTTTCCTGAATACGCAAACATGTTATTTCACTCGCGCCACATAATTATCAATTACTAATATATGTATAACAGAAACGCCCGGATCTGCCAGTAGCATTGCAACATGCCGAGTCATTCGTGGCATGACATGCAGGTGGTACCCATTTACTACTGAAGGAGTTGGGGTGACCAGCAACGCCTCAATAAGGAACGACGCTGGATCAACCAACTCCAAACCTGCTATCCACTCAGCATGAACAAGAAATTATCCTACTACTACATACAGGTTCGGTCATACATGCCTGGCAGCCGGTACACCTCAAGCTACCACTGAGGCAACTAATATAATATCACCCATTTATTCGTACCCTTTCGAAAATAATTTGTTCTATTTATTTCACTTTTATTAAGTTACTACATCTGCTTTCCTTCAATTTAAGATTAGTGCCGTTATTAACTCCAGTCTGAGGACTATTTGACCATATTTGACCATATTCATTTTTTTTACATATATTTACATTTTGTGCATTGAACTGATATTTTGTTTTATCAAATTACTTTTTATTGTAAGTACACATACATATAACTTAATAAGAATATTTTTTTTTTTTTATTTTTAATCAAACAATTCCTCATTTAGAATGTGGCCGAGATGTACCGGTAGACTACTTTCCTCGGAGTGTGACGTGCAATTGTTTTCGTTGTGATCACATATACGCTTAGTGTCCAGAGTGCAAACATACCGAGATTGATGTAAAACAGAATTGATATTTTAATTTTCGCTGGCGTTACATGATTACAAATTACTAATAAATAGATAGATAAATAGATGAATATATCATATACCAGAAACGTTAACAAATTCACTGTTATTAATATATTTTGCATTTACATTTTCTATGATAACAACTTTTGCTTACTTTGTCTTTAGTTGTAGAGGAGATGTAGCAGATATCGCCTTTGTAGTTGACGCGTCGTCAGGTATCGGACTTTACCCAGATTATAAATTTCATCCGAGAAGTCGTCAATGAGTTTGGCATCGGTTTACAGGCCACCCTTATATGAATGCTTTTTCTAGATAGAAATTTCTAAGTTTTCAGATTCTGGGAAATGTCAAAGACATCTTTCATGACACATAACTTAGTACACGATTTCTTTTCGTTTGCAAGCGTTTATACTACAGAAATAAGTGTTTATCTCAAATAATTACCCGCAGTATTATTTGGAAAATGGGCAGATGCAGAAACTCATTTTTGACGTTAATTTATTATTAGAGTATTACGGCCATTTAAGAATCATTGGCAGCGCCTTTTATATGAGACATATTAATGAAAATCTCCGATTCTTGTATTCTATAGTGAGGCAAAATAGTATTTTTGTTTTTCCTTCAGCAATTTCGGTCAATTTTTGTCAATCAGAAAATGCAGGTGCCGAAAATCCAACAAAAACCCCAAACACTTCATAATGAAGATTTCGCGTTCCTCGTTTGCCATATGTTGGCGTTGGTGTGTTACATGTTATACACATGTACTTGACGATGTTCTAAAATTATTAGGTATAAGACAATTACTCGATTTTAAATCTTTGACAAGACATTAATTTCTCTGTCTCTTGAAATATTTTGCTTTTTCTTTCCAGAAAGGAAGACCTTCACGTGAAAATAAATGTCTTGGAAATGGAAGACGGAGAAGAACTCGAGCATCATGGGATTGAATGACAACGACGCACTCACAAGGGCGAAACCATTCCACTGAAATATTCAGCAGTGCTATTTCGTTTGAAACTAAACACTAGCTGATGTTGTTTGCCTTAGGAAAAAGTATGATAAGTAGCTATCAAGTGACAAATGTAAAAATGAAAGTATTTAAATGCGTAACTGTTAAGTGTAATGAATGCACACTATTCAAAGACTCGAGATGTACTTTAGCAGCGTTCGATCAGACTTTGTCAATAAACGTCTTGGGGGTATGACTGAAAAATTTTATACTGGTCTACCAATCACAAGCTTGCAAGAAATGTCAGTATGTAGGTGTTTAATGGGTTCCCTTTTGAAATCATTTATTTTTTACGAGTATGACATGATATGAATATTTTTCACAAATGCGAAGAACGAATGAAAAATATAAATAATTTTGTCATACGAGTGAAATGTATTTGATATTTAACGGGGAACCATTGCAGTCTTTTCTATTACTTGTCAAAAAGGAAAACAGATAAAAGTAAAACCAATCCAAACATCAGTCTTTGAGGTCGGACAGTTTGACGATACACTTGGCAACTAAACGACAGCATTTGGAATAGTGTTACATAGTAATCTACCATTTTATAATGTTATCTGGTAAGAATGATTACAAGACTGTTGTATATACCAAATTAGGGAATTATTTCATAGAAAACAAACTTATTCAACGTTTGTTTCCTTTCCTCCGCACGGGAAAATCGGGGAGCATCATTGCAGTGATGAAAACGCACTGTCCTGGTTTGTCAAATACTACGACAGTTATATCAATACGGGGAAGCATTTCTTATATCCTGTCAAACTGATAACGTCCTATATTTCACTAGCAAAAATGTATCAAACAAAAATTGTTTTATCAATGGTATGGTTGAGATCTATCCCTTTTTTACTGATAGGTTTATCAATTAATCTGTATAATGATATAAATTTAAAACCCTTTCCCATGAATCCTGTATTGTATCCTAGATACTCTCCTTGTCTATAATTTTGCTTAATTTTTCCCAAAATACAGTATTATATCTGTCAATGTCAATGCTTATAACGTCCAAGGAATGACGATTATTAATTATAAGTAGTGCAAATAAAACAAAATGTTAGATTGTAGATATAAGAAATAAATCATCCCTTTTTGTTTATTTACTCCTGTGTAAACTGAAGCTTTTTGACGTATATTTTAACAAAACGCGCGTCGTTTAAAACACCTTTAACTCTAAGGTATAAGGATAGTAGAGAAAATATCTATAAAAAATCTTACACAGTTTTTAAATTCCACTGTAGATTCGTAGATTCCAAAGAATAAACATATTACTTCAAATTAAAGTCTTTTCGTGTTTCCATTTTCACTTGGAAACATTTCGTCATTTTCATATCTTAATAGGAAGGCAACTATATTATTATGATGTAAAGCAATGAAGTGCTTTCTGTGTAGTTTAAGTTACATATTTTATAGTTCCTTTCTACATACTGAACAAATCATTCCATCGTACCTGACATTTACGTTTTGTTTGAAATTGTACAGAATAGGGCTAAACTACCAAAGCCTTTAAATCTTTATTTCTGGTTCAAATACATTATCAACATAACGTCATACGGCATCAATACATCACTGAGTGCGGTAACTACAGGGACGGACAGGCACTGGAGGTGACAAACACGTCGTCCACGGCCAATGCGTCACCGCTGGAGCCGATGACCGATCCTATCCATAGCTACAGGGCACAAATATATCGTCCAATCATCAAAGACATATGACTTAACGATGATAATAAAGCTACGAGTACTGCTTAAGACATTTCAAAAATATCATGGTATTGAAGAAACACGTACAATGCACATGAAGTAACTACTGTGGTAAATGTAATTTGATCTCAAAGGTAAATTACAGAATAAGAATACAAAAGATATCTTACTATACATTAGTTGCCCGAAATTATATTTAGTATGAAGTATTTTAAACAACATTAATATATTACGATATGGACCACAAGATTACTTACCTGCCATCGGGATGTCTCTACATGGGTGATATTTAATGGAGTCCACGCCTTGCTAACGTAATGACCTTCAGCAAATACAGAATTAGTATGTGTCTTCAGTTGGACACGGGTGGGCGTGGTGTTTCTCGTGGTGGCGATACAATAGTGTAAATGGATACAGTAGGTTCCCGCGGGTAAATTATAATTCGTCCTCAACCAAGCGTCACTCTGCGTCGTATACTGGTAGGTACCTGGGACATCAGATACAAAATATATGTAAAAAGCTACAACAGCAATGAGTTAGTCATCACTTCTAAACTACATATACGAAATATTGTTGTAATGTGGAACAAGAAAAAATCAATCTGACAAAAAAGTTATTGACGACACTACCGTATTAATATAGGAAAATTCAATTAAGTATTGACAGGTTATCAACGGAGAACAATGCTTATAATAACAATCCTCAATAGTGCGACTTTATAATGCCCACTCGAATGAAAATAATTACCAGTGACATTATAATTGCGATCTGGTCATCCAAACATTGAATGGTTAAAACGAACACGAAATAATAATAGTAATAATGATAATGATAAGATCAGGTGTTCTGGAAAGGGAAGCATCATATGAAACTCTGACATTTCCGTCATTTTACCATGAACTTAAATGTTAACAACAACGAAACCATCATTTACAACAACGTAATAATTAGTTACAACAACATCCATTAGTTCAATAACGTAACCATTGGTTACAATAACGTAGCCATTAGTTACAATAACGTAACCATTAGTTACAACAAGGTATTCCATGGAACTTTATATAACATAGGTAACCGAAATAATTCTCTAAACTTCCCAATGGTCTTTATCAGCTTACATCTTATAGATACTCGGAACAGTGTTGGCCTATATTCTATACAACTTTGGGTGAAGGTCCAGTGTACATCTATATGGTAACACGTTCCCCATCCGTAGATGGTTTGAGTTTCTCAGGGAGTTGAGAAAAAGTGCTGTCGACGTTACGTCCATTGACAAAGCATGCCACCCTAATCATTCTTATTGTGATGGGTCTTCCTAAATCAACGGAGCAATATTAACAATACAGGTTTGCGAAGTTGTAATGTTCATACAATATCGAATAAAAAGAGGGAAATCGATGGATAAAGCAGCCCAATATGTAGAAAAAAGTCGAGGTAAATAGTTGATATAGAAAAATCTGTCGCACAATGTATGTTGATGGGTTTCAAATTGTGGTGTATATATACGATTCCTGGTATTGAAATGTTTTACTTATCTCGAAGTCTGGCACCGAACTCATTAAAGGTACGTCGTCCACATCTAATGATAACGTAAACAGCTGCTGATGTTTGAAAGAACCACAAACGAGCCGAATGATATGGACTACATTTCATAGATCAGCCTTAGTTTTTAGTTTAAGTTACTTATTGTAGCATATATGCTAAAATATTGGTAGATTTATCTCCCTTTATCCGTTTGTGTGGAGTACAAACAAGTATTTTCATGCGTTCCATATATTACACAAACTGACTGGCTCAAAATCTAATATTTCGATTATATTTTTAGTGTAATTTTTAGAGCAACAGTACGTTTGCTTAATTTTGAAATTATTCATCTTTCCCGTTCTGTTGATGACACGAGCGAGCTGAATATGTTTTGAACTGTTGTAGATCTCCCACAAAAGATTTTTTCAAATATCGAATTGTAAAATCGTACATTTTGTCGTAGATTGTACAAAAGACACACAAGTGAATAGCACCATTACATAATTTAGAAAGTAGAGCCAAACAATACAATAAACTGCAGCATACAGCTGTTTCGTCCTTCTAGGACTCGTCAGTGATGCTACATCATACAGCTGTTTCGTCCTTCTAGGACTCGTCAGTGATGCTACATCATACAGCTGTTTCGTCCTTCTAGGACTCGTCAGTGATGCTACATCATACAGCTGTTTCGTCCTTCTAGGACTCGTCAGTGATGCTACATCATACAGCTGTTTCGTCCCTCTAGTACTCGCCAGTGGCATTTCATCATACAGCTGTTTCGTCCGTCTAAGGCTCGTCAGTGATGCTACATCATACAGCTGTTTCGTCTCTCTAGGACTCGTCAGTGATGCTAAAGGCCTAGGGTTTGAAGCCCAGAAGGCGACTGGAAACATCCAAAGTGATCACAATCTAGACGGGGAGGAGGTGCGACGGCCACATGATTAAACACATTTCGTAATTTTCATATATCAGATAATTTAGAACAGCGTCAAGTACATGTGTATTTTCTGAAAAGTAAAAGAGTAGACCTATCAAATATATAAACTGCTATGGTGATTTGGACATCAGAGTTGGCCCATATCGACATTAAGCGATAGTAAACACGGTCATGTGATTTGTTACCCGACATGGCAGCGATGACCTCAAGGAATACTTACCATTTGATAATCACATTTCATGATTTATTAATATTATTGTGATGCATGGTTAAGACTTCATGCAATACCTACCACACTCAATAGTGCCTTCTCCTACATTTAACCTTGCCCAGTCCGTTATATTCTCACCAGCTGGTCTCGTGTGATATAATATGTAACGACCCTATCTTAGTTTTCTCTGTGTGTTCAGTGCAATATCTTTCGCCTTTTGATCTCATGTAACACATAAAACGCGGGTCTGAGTTGTCTCCTGTTGGTTTCGTACAACACCTTCCGCGCTGTTACATTTCTCTCCTGCTGGTCTCCAGTAACATCTACCGCGCCTGTTACAGTTGTTCGCTGTTCCCTGTTTGTTACGTAAAGTACCTCCACTATGAAGGACCATTAGAACAGTCACCTGGTAACATCTGTTTATACCTACCACGCCCGTTAGAGTTGTTCGCTGTCCCCTGTTTGTTACGTAAAGTACCTCCACTGTTAAGGACCATTAGAACAGTCACCTGGTAACATCTGGTTATACCTACCGCGCCCGTTAGAGTTGTCTCCTGTTGGTCCATTGTGTGGCAGAGCTCCCACTCGTCGTTGCCACTGATTCTGGAATTGGTGGTTATAAATATCATATCTTACATAATATGTAAGCTCACATGAAGATTTTTGGAACGAACAGCTGACTACGTCACCTAAGGAGATACAAACAGCATATATTTTAGAATTTTTACAATCACACAGACACAGTGTGTGGTAGGTCACACTACTGTGTAACATGATCAAGCATCATCTCGACTTAAGAATTCAGAATGAGTTGTTTAACTTGTCGGTTCAGCTGTGACACAAATGTCAGCTTTTGAATATATACCAAGATATAGTGCAACTTCTGATAATGTGTTCCAAGCGGTTTGTGTTGCTCAGTGTGTGTTACAGTGTACAAGAATGAGATCAGATATGTGAATATGTTTGAAATACCTTTAAACGTCTGTTTCAGTTCCATATGCGTCGTAAACAATGGACTGGTAAAACAACTCAAGGAGGCGGCTGTTTCTGGTCTTAAGTCAGGGATGTTATCCCTTTTTGAAGTTTTTGTTGTGATAGGGACATATATAAGTTGATATGTAAAATCCTATTTTATCTCATTACAAGAAGGTATGACTACATCACAACACATCTGCACCCCTATTGATAATTGATTGTTACAATGATGTCAAAATTATGCCATATGTCTTTCCGGATCAAAATAAATTTTACAGGCCAACTTTACCTCAAAATTAACTTTGTAACACATCATTTATTGAGTTTTATCTGCCATGCTATTTACACGCCAGATTAGGGGTAATTCAAGACCTTGAAAAATACTCTGAAGTTTAGTCGGTCAATGCTACAATGTTGAAATCAAGAGCAATTCAAACTATTATTTTACCTTACTCATTCCAATAAGTTAATGGTTAATCTAACTTTGACGTTGTCATGGTTGCATGTGGCAAACTAATTCAGTATAAACATTGACTAAACGTTTCATTCCATATATCAATATTTCAATAACGTTTTACCCCTTTTTCAAAACATTTCCCGAGAAAAGTCTTTGGTTATAATATATATGAAGCTGAATATTTATTGCACGCAAACTGAATAACAAAATTCCCTTTCCCGACAATAGCCCTGTTCATGTTGTAAAAATATCAATTAGACATTGAGTAAGCCTGACTAATTTCATGAAACAAAAGAAACCGAAGCTACGCCTACACAGAACTAACTCCAATAATATGTGACGAGCCATTCACCGTTAAATATTTTTTATTGGACTGCATTGACTTTCTGTCTACTCGAGACATTTTTTATCGTAACATTACAAGTCTAAAGACCCTTTTTGAAACTATTGAGGTTAAAAACATTCTAGGTTATCTGAAAGATGTTGGTCTGTATTATAGACTATAACGTACCATTTTTATATTTTGCGACAAAAAAACCATTTAGAATTTTTTTTGCATTCACCTTTTACCTTTTAGTGTGTTTCCTTTTTGGATCGCTGTGTGTTTTACCGGTTGATGGCCCTAATGACCCTTTATGTGTTGACGGGCCGTTAAGAATGTCATAATGATAATAATAAATCCAGTAAAAATAAAACATCTACCGCCCTTAGACAAAACATATACCGCCCTTAGACAAAACATCTACCGCCCTTAGACAAAACATATATGAAGGAAACTTACTGTACTTGTTTAACAGTGCTGTGGTGTCTGCAATGAATAAAACGTAGAAGGAGTTAACCCTAACCATTTTCAAGGAAAATATATTTAATAAATAAAATACAGTAAAAAGATTTTGAAATGTCAACCCTTGGCCATGAGTTAAATGTTACAGCAATCGGTTTGGTATATTGTACATAATTGAACAACAACTCTTTTTACATGGTGTTAATCCTTCCCACCAGCATTTTGTTCTTGTGATATCAAATGTCATTAGTGATGTACACATAAAAGGTCCACATATTTCAATCTCAATGTGTACCTATACATTGATTAGACACGAATATACAGATATAGATGTATAGATTATAACTGTCATTATTGCATTTTAAAAAAACCCTTATTGTGCATACTATCCTGTCTAAGAACCTACAGATGCTAACTTTCACATCAAAACATAACGCAGGTTTACTTTTAATACGGTTTACACAAAATTCCACCGCTTACACATGGAAACCCGATTCTAACAAACATTGTACAAAAGACACCCAATTGAATATCACCGTTTAACGTCCAAACTCTTATCCACATCAACAAGCTCAAACACCAATACCCTTATAATCACACTCGCAAATACGTTTGACATCTAGGTACATTCCATAACAAAATGATACTTGAATTCTGTATTTCGGTCACTAACCTACCATTGGCACAGTCATAGGCTATCTGCAGCTTCTTCACGTCACTGACACTCATCCGGTCCTTATTGCCGAGGGACGAGGAGCTAACGGTCGATGTCATTGTTGGAGATAAGCTGTTATTTGCGTTCTGATATGGAGAGAAATGCGTCAAGGATTCGAAGTCGTATGGAATACCAAGAAGTTCGTCATCTGCGGGACTCAATTTTTGGTACATCGACTTATAGCCTGCAAAACATATTTTATACAAAGGACTTAAATACCCGCGGTAACTTGAAAAGCTAAGATTGGTGTAACACTTCTAGCACCGGTATGGTTAAAAGTTTCAAATTGCCCTTACATTGCTTGGTTGCTTTGGTAACACATCTCAAACATTGCGCTGGTAACCTGGCAAAGGTACAAAATGCACTGTGTAACTGTTGCCAAGGGGAGGAAAACAGATAGTCAGCTTGACTGTGCTACCCTGCGGTTTCCCTTGGAAATCCTTCCTCAGAACAGCATTTATTGGAAATGAATTAGGTTCAATACAATTTGAATACTACAGTTTGTGACTCAACGAAACCACGTGGCAAAATCTCTGTCTTTTGCTATAATACAATACAAAATTATATAGACAATGCGATACACACTCTCGGCAAACAATGACAATTTCATCTTGTTATGATACCTTCAGTTTTCAAAAACGATACAAAACGATGAGCGATCGACCTCTTACCGTCACGGACGTTATCAATTTCGACAGTGACATAATTATCTCTGTCTGGACGTCTGTGCTCGTAGTCAAGACCAAGTGCAAGCAGTAGCATCATCATGACTCCAGACTTGTGTTGACAGTCGGCATCGAGAAACACAAAATGTCTCCCTTTCGTCATACCGCTGGCGGTGCCGCAAACACTGTGCAACCAACAGTATTTACATGTCACTGTTTGTATATCAATAGTCAACGAAACTGCAAATTAGCGTATTATTATGCATATGTTATATTGTTTTAGATGACACAAACTAATCAAGCACCAGCTAAAATCAGACACATCTATAAAAAATCGCTCTTCCTCAGACAATAAGATGAAACTTGCTTTCCGTGATCGCAGCCTTATAAAGATGAAACATGAGCGGTTGATCCAGCACGTCCAACATGTGGTTGTTCCGCCCCAATCGAAGAACCCATAGCATTATCTAACACATGTCATTTTAATAGCCATGTTGCCTTTCAGTCAGATCTAGCCTTACATCAGACTTCTTATCTAAATCAACACCTTTAGTAAATGAACTAGGCCTACCCATAGTAACACAGTGTTCATCGCTTTTCCCCCACTCCTGATCAGCTGATCAAACTCGACACCACCTACAGTAAGTAGCTGCACACTGCTCATTTGGAAATATGACAAACTGCGATACAGTCTAGTTTCTCTTAAGTACACTTAGAATTGATAAAACTAGTTTGAATGATGTTTTCTTTTTTGTTTTGATTTGTTTTGTTTATTGTTGTCGCAATAGACAACCCAGTGGTGTCGTCAAATGTTTCAGGTACTACAACCTTTCTATTGAACTTTTGATGTTCTTACAAGGTGTAAAAAGTAATTAAGTTGGAAGTTATTATAAAATGAGTTGATGATTAAATATAAATACAATGAAGTTGTTGTTAACTTTATTTACATATAAGTAACTAATTATTTTCCTTGGCGTGCTATTTAAATGCTCATCAATCGGGAACCTTTGTTTATTGAAAATTCATACTTCCGATATGGTACCTGTCATCATAGATGTATTAACAGTTACTACGTATTACTGCATCTGTCACTTATTTTTTCATCTGAATAAAGTATTAAATAAATGTCGCAAGACCTCTTAACTCGCTTCCTTTTAGAACACAACCCCTGTTAATTCGATAAATCGTTACCCGTCGTCACCAACGTGGAAGTACAGGTATGACGTCACTGACTCCGAATCCGAAGAATGCCAGAACCGCAGACATGGTTCGGTGCCAGCTATTACATGACCATTTACGATTTCCTCAACCTCCAAAATAGCCTCTCTGATCGTGGTCGCCCAAACACTTGATTCATCTGTGAACAAAGAAAGGAAAGAAGCATGTAGACAATACATATACAATATATATTCCGTATGTAGAAAGTGTGCAAGATTCCAGATAAAAGTAAATGATCGACTTATGACAACATCTCCGTCGAGTTTGGCAGTAGGATCTTCCAACATATAATTGGCATACCTATGAGCACTAACTGAGTCCCTCTGTTGCCAGACCTGTTTTTGTTTTCATACAAGGCTGAATCTGTTGAAGTGCTTAACAAAACAGATCACAAAGACCTCGCAAATTCGTTTATTTTACTTTCAGATGCATTGATTAAATCTTGTCTTTAAATAGCTAGAGGGTTATTGACCACACCATCGTATATACCCACCAGAGATGGAAATCAAAGATATGACAGACTCTTCTACATCATCTGATTATCTCGACCTTTTACTATAATGAAACTAACATGGAGAGCTTTCCACCAAGGTGTATGATAAACTTGATAGCTTCAATTTCTCTACTGTGATTTTTTGTTCTAGATAGCAGTGTCGCTACCTCTCCAACCTGTCGCTATTTATTCGCTTTCAAGGGCCTGTTCCTAATCATGATTTTCGCATTCAGAATGTCGTCAACTGACGGACAGATTCTTAACACTGAGTTTTAAAAGATGCAAGTCGATGAATATCATGTGGAGCTTCTATGGTCGCCATAGTGATTTCATTGAGCAATATTCTATCTATTTATGCAATTTGAAGCTGGACGTGTTTAATGTTCGTTATCTAATGGTGTCGTTGTTGTATACCTTCTACTCATTTGAGAACATAAAATTAATTACTTGGATTGATTAAGTTTATGTAATTTGAGTTGAGTTTGGATTGTGATTATGTTGACATGATGGTATTTTCTTTATGTGTTTTGTGTTACAAGATAAAACATCTAATAACAGATACAATCTGTGATGTCATGGAAGGTCAGATTTAAAAGAACCTATTTTCTTGCACTCTTTAATAAAAGGGAGCGGTTTACCGCCATTCAACGGCAATAATTAGAAAAAAAGTACAAGTGTGCAATGATGAAGTCTTGTGTAGATGAATATTCAAAAAGAGTAAGCGAAAGGAAATCACTTCTGACATGTTTGATATTCTGGATGTTCTATCGTGTAACGTGTGATATTCGGGATGTTCTATCGTGTAACGTGTGATATTCGGGATGCTCTATCGTGTAACGTGTCATATTCGGGATTATCTACCGTGTAACGTGTGATATTCGGGATGTTCTATCGTGTAACGTGTCATATTCGGGATGTTCTATCGTGTAACGTGTCATATTCGGGATGTTCTATCGTGTAACGTGTCATATTCGGGATTATCTACCGTGTAACGTGTGATATTCGGGATGTTCTATCGTGTAACGTGTGATATTCGGGATGTTCTATCGTGTAACGTGTGATATTCGGGATGTTCTATCGTGTAACGTGTGATATTCGGGATGTTCTATCGTGTAACGTGTGATATTCGGGACATTCATGGAAACCAGGAAAAAACATACATAGTATGTGTATGGTGAACTAGAAAAAAAGCATGAACAATGTAGATTATATATCGGGAAATCTGCGGGAGCAGGTAGGTGCAATATAAATATATAGAAAACCCACCCATAATGCTCTGCGGCCACTTCATATGTTTTTAAAAAGGGCGTAACTAGCTACATGTACATACTTAAGGACAAATTTCTGTGTAGAGCTCACATCGTCGGAGTTAAGAATATGATCTGCAATCATCGAATGTAAGCTAACCGTGACTTTCCAGTACTATATCACAGGATTGTACATACCTATATTGTAGCTGAATCTGTAGGGGACCTCTCCTCTTGGCCAGCGATTACCTCGGTGTACAAATCGTGGCTCCTAGAATGTAAATAGATTGTAGTCAAAAACTCAATAGTCTCTCATATTAGCTCTGATATAAAAAAAAAATGTACCAAACAGTCCAACCTATAAAGCATAGTCTGTGATAAAATATATGCACATGCTAGTCCAAGTGTACAGACACTCATCATATATATACATATCATATATACGTACACATTAAATGAACGCCTTATATCGTCTTGGCAATGAATCTTTTCAGAAAAGAAATGTTCTTTCCGTTTCTTTTGTATTATCCTCATCTCGTAAACAAAAATATATAAACAGGTAAGTGTTGAGTTTGTTATATGGGGTACCTAGCCGGAGGGATCCTGTCCCGTGACATATACATGAATACCCGTATACAGGCATTTGTTGCTAGTTTCACGACACTCTCTGAGATGTGAAACGGTCCGAAAGAATGGCTAATTATTACAAGATCCAATTTTGTTTCGAATACGCGAATTATAGAGGACTTAAATCAATTTTAATATGCCCGTGATTGCTATTTTGGCATAACTACGCGAGTTTTCTATTTAATTTCTAACCCGTAATATTGGCCAACCATTTTTCTGAACCACACTAGATTTGTGATACAATCGCGCATTTGTGCTTTAGATACAGTGCGCATGTGATGTACATGTACATATATGTGAGCATGAAGATTTGTGTGTTACCATATCTATATATATATATATATATATATATATACCTTTACGGACCGATATTACAAATTATCTAGACAGATGTAATAAAGCATATATTATATCACGGGATGGAAAGTACAATGTCCAGCAGAATTAATGTATTATGTGGATATCACAGATAAAGAATTTCTTGTGGTGAACGTTACCTTTGATGTCATGATCCATTCACCGTTAAACATTTTTTATTGGACTGCAGTGACCTTCTGTCTACTCGAGAACGTTTTTATCGTAACATTACATGTCTAAAATCCCTTTTTGAAACTGTTGGGATTTGTAAAATTCTACATTACCTGAAAGATGTTGGTCTATATAATAGACTTTGACGTACCATTTTAATCTTTTGTGTTAACATACCCATTTAAGATTTGTAACATTTGTCTTTTACCTTTTGGTTTGTTTAATGTTATTTCCTTTTGGATCGCTATGTGGTTTACAGTTTGATGGCCCTTATTACCTTTTATGTGTTGACGGGCCGATAAGAATGTAATAATAATAATCATAAATTCTTGATGGTGGTATTACAAAAATAGTTTATCTCACAATCCAGGAAATATAATTAAGGTGTTGACATGATGTTATCACAGAAGTTGAGATACTGAAAACATTCAATTAATGATAGATTGTAGGAATATCTTTATTACGAAGACATCATTGTCTTCTATTGAACATTTAGGATGATAATCCGTATAGTCTACTAGACACAGACCCTACAGTGATAACACAAAGACTCTTGGCAGACAACTATAAAGATACCCCGAATAAAATCTACATTACACAGCAACAGAGAGTTGTAACCAATTTATATCGGAAAAGCATGCATTAATGATTTCATCTATTCGTAGTTAAGACGTGGTCCTGTAGAAGCACGTGAATCAGACACAATCAATAACTGATATAAAACCTTGTATGACGCAGATGTTTGTTTTTTAGAACTATTTCATGTTAGTAAGATAGTTTTTACTTAATTACTCATTTTGCATCCAGTCTGGAATACAGTTTGATAGCACATCACTTGACCTTGAAAAAAGTAGACACATGATAAATAATACGCACTAGTGTCTACCACGGGTGTACCTACATGATCTGCCAGTGTCCCGGTAAACAGAATGATTACAGTCAAAGTTCCAAGCATTGTACCCAGTTGAAGAGTTAGAGAAGGGATGGTCCAACGCCCTACCAGCAAGATTACAGAGATGATCCGTCAGGAACGTGTTCAACCCAACAGATAGGTAGTCGAGATAAAAAAATGTTGTCGTCACCTAAGTTAAATGACAATGTTTTATCTCGTGCTGAGCTTTGTTCCAGGAGATATACACTGTCACAGATAAGGGCGCAGTGATGACTAAACAATTAGTGATAGCAGAAAGAAGAATTAAGTTATGTCATATCTATTCTATTGTTGCAAAATATGAATTGTTAAAAAAAAATGAAACAAAGTCATACCACGCAACTACTGTACAGACCTTGTACACACCATTAAAATGCCGGGACGGCATATTCAAAAACGAAACCAGTGCCAGACCCGGAAGTTGCACCGATATCTTGGCCGGGTCAGTAGGATGGTCAATACTGTTTTTATATCCACTGATAAACACATGCTAAATACTACTACAATTTTCACAATAGAAATAAGATTATTCACTGTAACAAACCGAATATCTTAGTTAGAACTTCTCCGAGAACATGTTGTAAACTTAATGCATTTACCACAATGGTTCAAAAAAATGCAGGTTGATGAAAGTGTTATGGTCGTCATGGTGATCTCATCGTGAAATATTTTATTTCTTTGTGCGACATGAAGCTTGACGTGCTTGGTGCTCGTTAGTTTACCTGATTGTTCCGTTATTGTTTACCATGTTCTTATTTGAGAACGTGGACAAGGTTTACATGACGAGTGTCATCGATGAAGTAGAAGACGCTTACTATTCCGGAACACCTGGTTCGTTCTCCTTGTACTTTTTAGGAGTTTCTTTTAAATCTTTCTTTGGATAATATTTTGCCGCAATGGATGTGAAAAGGTGTGGGGTAACCTGTCCGGCCACGTGGGTTTTCCCCGGGAACTCGGTTTCCTCCCACACTAAAACCCCTCGTGCGCTTCCTTCCGAGCCAACAAGAGTGATTAATATAGCCTTGAAAAACTTGCTTCGCAATTGTTGTAAAATAAATTAAGTTTATCATTATTATCATATTTTGCCCTAGTTTTTTGGAATTTGAGTTTTAATTATGATTATGTTGTCCTTTTGATAATTTCTTGACGTCAAATATGATCTTTAATGAAACTTTCCAATATTTTCCCGTAAGGAATTATTCCCAGAAAATTAAATGTATAACAGTGCGTTAGCAATGTTGTAATATTACTCTATGTTAAACGGTGACAAAGGAAATAATTTGTTTCAGAAATATTACAAAAATACAGAGCTCTTGGCTAAGAATTGAAGTCGAAAGTGAGTTAGGTCACGATATCATTTGATTACATCGGGGAACATTGCACGTAATAATATACAATTATCGACATGTTTCGGGGTGAGTACGAGGCCAAACTACGAGCTACCTCTCGATATCGAGGGTCGATAAATCACTATATTCACCGGAAAACAGGTCTATATTTTTTCATTATTGTTATTATTATATGAAATTTACCAATTTTCAAGCTACAAATGATTATTCCATGTCATAAGATACGAAAGAAAGAAAGCAAACTAGTGATAGAAAGGAGAAATAGCTTGACAAGTACAAAAAAGCGACAAAGGATAAATGTTATCTTAATGGATAATACGGTAGAGCTCAGAAATCACAAACTTGACAAAACGAGACATGGCGGTGTACATTCAACAAAAAATACTGTCTTCTCTCATTTACCTGATTACATTACAGCAACCCCAAAAACAGCTTTCCTGTATGATATTACGGTACAGCAACACTAGTGCGTATCCAAACATAGTAACAAGGGTGTGTTAATCGTTAAACAGATTGATATTGTTTAACATCGTAAAACAAGACATAACTGAATAGGATATAACACTTTTAGTGTTAAGGTTAAGTTTTATAGAACGTTGTTTACAGTGTCTGTTTTTATCTTTGCTGTTATACCACGTTTACCAGTAACATGAGGTACATGTACATGCCACATTTATCTTCAGCGAGACATTACTTTTATTACCCCAATTGTTGCACTGTGACATGTCCAATACCATTAGATCAAGCCTAGACTGAAAGAGAGACTGGAGCGGCTATCAATTTTATAGGTTTCCACTTTAGACTAACACTGGACTACCGATGTAAATTCTCAAACGTGCAAGGGCGCAGCCAGCAGTCTGGAGTGTCAGTAGGTCTCTCAGAACAGAAAGGCATATTGCTGACTCCGCGTTTAAAACTAAACTACATTCATGAATATGCAAATGATTGGCTTACATGGACTTTCCAGTAGTAGTATAGTTAAACCCTGTCAGATTGCCCGAAAGGTTTAGATCTGGGAGTCTTACAGTAAACAGCCATGGTCACTAGTCAGATAACACTGGTCACATTAATCCTGTCCGTTTTGTCGCGATCCTGTGCGCATGCGCTTAAGAGGAGTAATGAGAAGAAAGGCTTTGGTGGGCGGTAGAAGGGAAAATACTCCACAGCTATTGGTATCGAACCACCCTCCAATCTTTTATCCTTCAAACCTCTAACAGGGGTACCATAGTATAGAGACATCGATCGACTGTTTCGGTCTGAAAACTATGATATATATTAATGGAAATAATATCTGCGATTTGCTAGGATTACTATTGGGCGTTCATACCAAATAGATGCATAATTGTTTTATCTATTCTTCTGACTATGAAATGAATATATTGGATTGTTTGTAATCCGTCTTAGGACAAGCAGGTCATTTATATTCATTGAATCAGAGATGTTTATCGAACAGACTGCGAAAGCTAGAATCTGTGTCAGTGCAAGCAAATATTACCGATGCCCAGTGGTATGGCCATAAAGCGTCCAGGTGAAAAACAAACAAAGCAATGTTCTTGGTCAAAGATGTAGCTATCAAGCGTCCAGATGATCTACAAATATAACAATACTCTTGGCCAAATAAATAGCCATCAAGCGCCCAGGTGATCTAAAAAAAGAGAAATACTCTTTGTCTTTGTCAAAGATTCAGCCATCAAGCGTCCAGATGATCTACAAATAGAAAAAAAATACTCTATGTCAAATATGTAGCCATAAAGCGTCCAGCTGACATACAAATAGAACAATACTTCTGGTGAGGTGAATATTTGGAACGTTTTCTTAACCTTTATTAATAATTCTGTGTATAGTTTAGTATTATTAAACCTGTTGTTAATATGTATGAATGTTGAACTCAATCCCGGACCAAATATACATGAATTATCAATTTTTCACTTGAATATTCGTAGTATTAGAAATAAGTTAAAGTATTTAGAAGATATAGCAAGTGAATATCACATAATTTCGGATATCGGAAACTCATTTAGACGGAAATATATCTTCCAAGGAATTAGAAATTCAAGGTTTTAGTAAGCCTTTTAGAAGAGATAGAAATTCTGCTGGAGGCGGTGTTATGGTTTATGTTTCTAACCAAATTAAAGCAACTAGAAGATACGATATTGAATTCGTGGATGGTGAATTAATATGACTTCAATTGGAATTGTCGTCGAGTTGTATTTTCCTGTGTACTATCTATAGACCACCTAATGCGGCAAATTTCTTTTGGGATCATATGCATGCCTCTATTGAAAAAACATTAGATATTACATCGAACATAATCATTGTTGGAGATGTCAACGTTGATTTAATTACAATGACACAATATCATAGACTCTCTGAAATTCTTAATAATTTTAATTTTAAAAAACATTATTACCCAACCTACTAGAATAGGAAACACACGAGCTACTCTTCTAGATCCAATCATACTATCTGAATCAATTAAATGTATAGAATCATCAGTATTGCCTATTACTAGAGACATTAGTGATCATGAAGCATGTTTAGCATCTATTGAGGTAAATTTTCAATTAACAAAGTCTTATAAGCGTCAGGTTTGGTGTTATAAACATGCTGACTTTACTAAACTAAATAGATTAATAGAAAACCTTTCCTGAGAAGATATGATTCTTGAATCTAGGGATATTGAGGAAGCTTGTTTAAATTTTACTGATCAATTTATATCCTTTGCAAAAGAGAGTGTTGCATCTAAACTTGTCACTATACGACCCAACGACAAACCGTGGATGAATTCGGAGTTGCTTAAAAACATCAGAATCCGCAATAGACTACATAATAAAGCTAGGTTAACCAAACGTGAGAATGACATATTGAATTTTAAAAGAGCGAGAAATCGAGTAAATAACATGAAAAAACACGCTCGTGAAAACTTTTATTGAAATTTAGATGACGTCATTAACAGTTTTATTAAATCCGACCCCAAATCATATTGGAAATTACTTAGAAATTTAATTAAATCAAAGAATGCAACCAATGAAGTACCTCCTCTTATAGATCAACATACTGTTAATGTAAAATATAACGATACAGAGAAAGCGGAACTACTAAATAATTATTTCATTTCAATAAGTCAGTTAGACGACTCTGAAGTTCAGGTACCGAACCTAGTCCCTAAAACAATTTCAAATTTTAGCAACATAATTATTGATGCAGATGAAGTAACCGATGTTCTCAAAATATTGAAATTAGGTAAAGCATCTGGTGTAGACGGGATCAGTCATCATATGTTACGTTATACAGCTCACACTGTGTGCAGACCTTCAACACTATGATACAATATGTCTCTCACACAGTGTGTTTATCCAAATTTGTGGAAAAAGGCAAACGTTATTCCACTTTACAAAAAAGAAGAAAAACATTCACCATCTAATTATAGACCGATAGCATTGTTATCCACGGTTGGTAAGGTTTTTGAAAGAGTGGTTTTTAAGCATATTTATAATTACTTTTTAACAAATTCGTTATTTTATTCAAGGCAATCTGGTCTTATGCCTGCACACTCTACCGTTCACCAGCTCATTGAAATCTACCACAACATTTGTCTCAATCTTGAGGAAGAGAAACACACATGCATTGTTTTTTGTGATATTTCAAAAGCATTTGACAGAGTTTGGCACAAGG